TTGCTGAGCACGCAGATGCAGATTATGGCAGATTCATGTTGGTTTGCATATTCATCTAGATCATAGCGGCTGCCTCAGTATGACTATGACCAGACGCGAGCAGGGAACAACGTTTATGAGATACTGGTTTCAATCCATGCCTGGAACTATTCCTACAAACTCTGTCTGCCAGAAGCGTCTCTAAGCACCAGGGCACTAGGCCAACCAAATTGCACTTCCTGAAACTTTCGGAAATGCCAGGTTTGACCTTGAGGCTGGCGCGGTGTCCAAAGCGATGGCGACTTTTGTCGGGCTCGTGCCTGGCAAGGCTGCAGGATTTCAGCAGTGATGTACCATGGCCACCTTTTTGGATTACGTCTTCCACACAAGCTTGGCGTCCTGCTTTGCTTTTCTGGGGTTAGCACTATAGGCCACTAATATTGGCCCTTAGGCTTTTTAGGTGGATCCTAGGGACCCTTCAGGCTACATATAACGTATCTATAAAAACAACAGTTATATGAGGATCCCAGGATTACCCTAAACCCTAAACACTACGGGCTCACGGTTTCAGCCTTAGAGCTTTGCATGTCCCAAAATCGGCCAGGGCCGCCGAAGAGGCTCTCCACCACATGGCTCCTAGCAGTGGGGTCGTTATTCCAAAAGACAGTGTGTGTGTGTGAGTTCGAATGTGACCCTCTTGACACGAATTTAGCTTTGGGATGTTGATACAATAGAAATGCTCCAGCTAGCTAGTATCAGAGAAGAGTGTGCTGCACTCAATTAAACACAGAGAGCTACTCTGGGTTGCTGTCAATGACTTTTTGCTACTATGATAAGGAAACACTACAATCCATGATTTATTATGCATCCAAATTATGGTAACTTAATTTAAGTTCCTTATGGAGGCCTAGTTTAAAGAGAGTGCCGCGCCACATGCTTAACAAGGCTCATGATGCAAGAAAATTCCACATTTACAAGACGGCAGAAACCCTAAACCCGGAACCCAAAACCCACTGAAAACCGATAAACCCCGTCACTGGTCCCAGGCCTGCTCAAAGCCAGCCCAAACAAGCCCAACCCTAATCTAAAATATGTGTTGAAGACAACTCAGAAATTGGGTCACTCTTTAATATCAGGGTGGGGGGGGGGTTAATCCCTAGAATGAATGGATGAGTAGTCGTACCTTTGACTTGGGTTTTAGGCCGGCATAATCGAGGGTAGTTGGAGGGTCCTGGTAAGAAATGGGAGAAGGCAACGGTTATTTCTTTTTTAGGACTGGTGGTACTAGGGAATGGAAGGTCAAATACACATGGTAAGTGACATGGAAACTGGGCGTACATGGGCATGAGGAGGTTTAGGGTTCAGGGTTGTTCGCAGGAAATGTAGGACTGGAAAAATTCAGAAAAAGTTCAGACTACCGTAGTAATGTGGATTGTATAGGCTCTACTACAGGGATCCATTGCTGCCTCCCCTACGAACAACTAGGGAGCAATTCCTTCGCAACTCTAAACCCCAAACCCTAAATCCTAAATCCCTCAACCCTAGAACTCCTAAACCCTAAAACCCTAAAAGCCCTAAACCGCTAAACCTTAAAACCATTGAATCCTAAAACCCCTACGCCCCTAAACCCTAAAACCCTATATATAACCCATCAAGGAGATTCGAACCCAAAATCTGGTAGATTGTCACCAGGCCGCCCCCTTTCTGGGCATGCTACAGATTAGGGGCTATGTGGGTAGTTCCCAAAATTAGGGTCCCATTTTGGGTACCCTTTAAAACGGGGTTAAGGGTTTATATAAGAATATTCAGGGTTTCGGGTTTAAGGGTTTACAAAATTAGGGTCCCATTTTAGTATCCCTGAATATTGGGTGCCGAAATATAAGCCACAATTTACCAAAACGGGCCCATAGTGTGGAGGACAACCTGTGTTATTATACGGGGACCCAAACCGATACCATGGTTTGTTGAGAACACCCCCATCTAGATCTATTAATCCCGAACCTCAAGCCCGGCCCCCCGAAGCATCTTTCCTTTGCCAATCTGGAGAGGTCGGCGCCCGCATGATGGACCTGAAGAACTTGATAGTTCAGGGCTGTGTCTTCAAAGCTTTGGATTTGCGACATGTTTTTTTTGTGGGGTTGCAAATTTGGGGCTTCGTCTTTTGGGTGGTGGTTCAGACTTCTTGAACATCTCCCAGGGCTCCCTATACCCGAGTACACAAATCGGCCCAACGGGAGCAGGAAGAATACTGTAGGAGCGTAAATTACCACTAGTGTCAGTTTGAGGTCTGAGGTACCCTATACAAGAATCATGCAAGGAATCTAGGACGCAATATTGAAAATTCTTTAGGCCCCTACATTACATGAATCTAAACAAGACCCATCTAATCATTTCCTCAGATAATTAACCCGTCGTGCTGTAGGAAAAACCGGAAGGCTGCAAGTATCCGTAGTTTGCTCCCAACATACTGCAGAATGAGCAACAGGAGTTTAGATTGCGGAATGAAAGTGTCTCTCTACCTCATCGAAAACTGGCCGGGCTTTGAATGACCGATTATCTGGCTGTCAGCTAGAGAGCTTGATGATGGAGCAGAGAACCCCACCCTAAGCTATGGGGACTAAGCTTACTGCTCCTAGAATAGGGGCGAACAATGTCTGGCGTTACCTGCATGGAGGAAGGCACGGCTGATGTTGAGGTTGAGCTTCTAATTTATTGATTCTCCATTCCTTTAGATCTGGGCCCTCAGGCGGAGGTCCATGCCAAGCATGTGTCCAAAATTCTGTTGGCTTCAGATGCGCCAAGGGTAAGATGTGACCCTCGACTAAGGCGCAAAGCACATGTTGATATGTAACCCAAGCTGAGAAGGGACTTGCGCATCTCCTACAAGCCCGGAAAGACAGAGGAAAACCCAGCAAAACAGCTGGTGCTGATAGCCAGGTGTCTATCTTGGCGCAATCCTACATACAATATGGCCCTCGTCCATGGGTGTTGATCACTTTAGGCTAAGGGTTCTCAACAAAGGGTTCTCAACAAAGGGCCATAATTTGTTGTGAATATAGACCCAGTGTCCGTTTCATGTTCTATGCTCTTTCCATTTGATTCTCCATTGTTGAGGTAATCATATAACCCCCATTAAGTCCTCATATAGTCCGTAAAGCCCAGATGAGCCACAGTCCAAACTCAGTATCCCCCTTAATAACCCCTATAGTAGGCCCTATAGTAGTCCCTTGTATAATCCAATATAGAACTGCCTTTAAGGAGTTTAGACACTTTCGACTATGGCTCATATAACTGCTTTGCACTGCTCAGGCCAAGGCTAACATGTTGGGCTCCTGCTGCACGTTGCCACCGCCATCCCGAGAACACGGTAGCAAGAAAAGGGGCAGCTGACAGTGGTATGCCCTACACGGGATAGGTATAAACCCAGATTCCATGTCATTTTCCATGTTCTTTCCCATTTGATTCTCCATGATTGAGGTAGTGTCCCTAAACTCCATATAACTCCTATGCAGCGGCAGTAAGATCCTTAGGGTAGGAATGTGTGGGTCTGAGGTTGCAGATTCTGAGCGTTAGGGTTTGGGGTCGGGAGAGGATTAGGGCTGAAACGTTCTGTTGGATGGCGCATTCCAAACGCATACAGGGCTTATATAGGGACCTAGGGTTAGGGGTTTAGGGTTTGAGGACCCCTTTAAAATTTAGAAGGGTTATATTGGGACTTCTTGGGTGGCGCGTTCCAAACACATGTCCCACCGCGCTGTCAAGCCGCAACACAAAGCGGTGAAACGTGCAGTCCCATGTCTGTCTGGCAGGCTATGAAACTCCTTAATGGGGGTTTGAGGGTTTAGGGTTTAGGGTGATATGGGAGATTATATACCCTCCCTGTATTATTTGGGGTTTAGGGTTTAGGGTTCTGAAGTCTAGCTGGCTACGAAGTGCGTGAGTAGGGTTTGTAGGGTCTAGGGTTTAGGGTTTGAAATGCTTCAAGTTGAGTATATGGGTAGTTCCTTATCTTACTAGGACGTAGTAAGGAATATATGCACATATCGATATAGATATATATATATATAGGGATTCACGGTTTTGGGTTGGTGTCGTATATGGGTAGTTTCCAAAATGAGGGTCCCATATTTGGCACCCTAAATACTAGGCGCTGTAAGATATTCTATAACCAAGAGGCGCCATAGTCTTGAGAACAACCCAACTAGTAGCTTCCGTTTTCTTTTCCATTCTCCATTATAGTAGTCCCATATGAGCTGTAGCCTGAACTCCTTAAACGGGGTTATATAGGGGATTATAAAGGGGACTACTATACGGGTTATTAAGGGGGATACTAGGAGTTTAGACTATGGCTCATATAGCCTAAGATAGTAGTCCTATTTTTCGCCCATTAAAGTACTCCGTATATAGCCCCGCTTTGGTAGTTCCTATCCAGAACATATGCCTCAATATCACCCAGAACGAAACATCGCAAAGAGATCCTCGCTGACACAGAATAATAACAAGAAGAATACTAATAATAATAAGAGCAAGAGCAATAATAGTAATCATAGAAAATGCGAATCATGTCAATAATAGCAATAACTATAGTAATAAGGTTGTTTGACTTTCTGGGCCGAACGGCCGTGGCAAATCTCGCGCTTACCACGCAGGCATCGCCGACAAGCTTGCTGCCAGCGATGCTTCAGATGGCCTCCTGCCAGGGATGCTAACAGCAATCAAGATTCCAGGGAACCTCCATGCATCAAGCCACAGCCACGTAATGTATTTCATATTTACTAGTACTAGTAGTAGTAGTAGTAGTTGTTGTTGTTGTTTCAGCAGTAGTAGTAGTAGTAGTAGTTGTTGTTGTTGTTGTAGCAGCAGTAGTAGTAGTAGTAGTAGCAGTAGCAGCAGCTGTAATTTAAAAAACCAATCATAGAAAGAATAAACATAATAGTCGTAATAATCATTATAGTCATAATTTGTCATGCTGCCTTGTCTTGGTCCTCAATGGGCATGGGCATTGGCTGGCGGGACAGAGCTCAGTCAGCTGCACGCCGCAACAAGTAGAGCTTCTCGTAGCTCCTCGGGTCCACCGAAAATGGGTTGTTCTCAAAATAATATAATGGGTTATATAGGGACTACTATAATGAGCTATAATTATAGGGATGATATAGGGAGAATGGAAAAGAAAATGGAAGCTACTAGTTGGGTTGTTCTCAAAATCATTGGCCCCTTTTGGCTATAGGTTGTTTACGGCACCTAATAATTTAAAGCTAACAAAATGGGACCCTACTTGTGGGAACTACCTAAATGACATTTTGCAGGCCTACAGAAGAATCATGAAGCAGTGCGCTAAGGGTTGTGAACAAGCTTAGGGAGGGCACCGTCGAGACACAAATGGGACATGGCTAGGCTGTGAATAGTCCACACCACGATCTGCAAGCTACACCGGTACTTCTGGAAAGTCAGAGGACTCGATACGAAGAAAAGCAAGAGTTCGCATTTGAATTGAGATGTCTCACAAGTTCATGCGCTTGCGGCGTGACCTTGAAGATATTGGCTTTGGGGCCTAGACCCTAAACCCTAAACCCATTGAGGCTTGGTCCTAAAAATGAGAGTCTTGGAAGCCCTTTGGCCAAA